ATTTTATTAAGAAAACAGATCTTGAATCTTTCGACTGTTTATCATTTTGTGATCGTTTACAAAATGATTATATGATTATTATATACATTATAATATGTAAGGTGTTATGCAAAGTGGACATAAATAATATATTTCATGTCGTGTCGTTTTGCGACGGCAATGGGCACATCTTAAAGTTGGCTTTAATAAATTTTTTTTATTATAAACGAAGGTGTTTCTTGTTGCTAGACTCGCTTGTACCGCCCTTAAGATCCCCGCTCCTCTCTTGAAAGTATCAAACGTATAAGTAGGGGTTGAAATTTCCAAACATTCTGCCACCTGACGTTAAGACAATCGTGCGCAAAGAAAAATATATCAGGAACTGTAGCCGGAAGTAGAGTGCTCTAATGATTTCCACGGCCTGACTTCCATGTTATCTTTTTTCTTTCGTTTCTTCTTCATTAGCATCTTTGGACATGCAACAGCAAAAGGTACTAGTAATTGCTATTTTGAACTTTCTTGCTATATCTTTCAATGTATCTTGATATTCAGGGTGTTTGAATGCGTAAATAAAAGGATCGCATGCGCTATGCAAGTAAATAGCCCAAAACGACAACTGCCCCAAAAAATCGGGTGGATGGTCTAAATCTTTGGTTGTGATGACCAAGAAGACGAAAAACGGAGTACGACAAACCAGAAATGTCAGAACCACAAATGACATTGTCATACGCAGTTTCGTTTCCAAAGAAACGGGAGCACCTGCGACCGGTGCTGGCGAGATGGATGACGTCACTGCCATGCGCGATTGGTGTTCATGCAACGCCCGTAAAATACTGACGTAAGAAAAAATCATGAAAACGCAAGGAAATAAATAACCGCAAAGCATCATGGTTATGTTGTAAGAAATATCTGCTCTGTTTGTAGAGTGATAATATTCGCAGTTGAAAATGTTTGAAGTGAATTCGTAGCGCCCCCATTGTATCGCGGGTCCCGTGGCGAGGAATATAGAAATAACCCATGCGCATAACACCATGACGAGGCAGCGGAAGTTGGTGAGAGACTTGTTCATTGGCAAAACAACAGACACGTACTGGAAAACACACAGCGAACATATTGTAAGCACACTGGCCATCGCGAATAGCGTGTTGATGAAACCGTTGAAGTAACAAAATGATTTATCGATGGTCTATGGAGAGATAGAAAGAAGATAGAAAGTTATGTACCGTAGGCCCCAAGTTTACGTCTGTAAACCAACCCCTAAATTCCAATCATTTGATTTTTTTCTTCCATGCAATTCCTTGTAAATAAGAGAGGAGAGTTTGGCGTTAGATCAAGGTAAAGTCCTTCCCCCGATACACCAGTCTATTTTAATTACCTGTTTAGTGAATGATATATTAAAGTTGTGGAGAGAAGTTAGAGTTTAAGACTTAAAGCGCTAAGGAACTTCAACTTTGGTCGCCAAACCAACCAATATGCGATTGCGTTTGTCACCAGTCTTTAACCGTTGCTCCAAGAAATAAATCTTTATTTTCTTCGGGAATTAAACTTCAGACTTGAACGAGTTTAGATTTGATAAATCACTTACGAGCAGCTCTCACTAAAAAATTGATAGAATTTCCATATCAGTCTACAGGGAAAAATTAGTTTGTTTGTTTGTTAGCTTTAATGAGGTGTTGGTTTCTTTGTATGTTTTGTCATCTTATTTTCTTGTATTTTACATAGGAATAAAAAAAACCTTCGCAAAGTATTCGCTGAATTTTCAACCGAATCACCAACAATACCCGTGAATAAAATTGGAAATGGAGAAATTAATTCAGTGTCATCCAAGCCATGATATTATTTCATTTCAAGCAGATAAAATAGGAAAACTATTTATTTAACATTACAGATTAGGACGAGAGAAAAACAACCATGGCCATCCGATACATGTGACTAGGCTCAAAGACTTCTTCAGCCAAGCATGCGAGATGCAACACACACTGACCTGTTCATGGAAGAGAACAGTTGCCACGGCGAAGGGCATGCAAGACGCCGACATTCCAACATCAGCTATCGCTAAATTGACTAAAAAGAGATGTAATTGGTTCCGCATGGAGCGATTCCAAAACACCACGAGACACACGGAAATGTTACCAAGGATACCAACGAGTGTAGTGATACCCAGTAATATTCCAATTATGAGAATAATGCCAGATAATGGCATGATTCACACAGCAGATGCTCGCGAAGTAGTTTGGTCCTTGGAACCAGACAAACAGTCTGAGTTGTTTTCCACGGTCTTGAACTAGATTGTTTTTGAATCTCAGTGATAAGGGTGGGATGCTTTATAAGTCCTCTAGAACAAAGTAAACAGCTTCGATGATGATTCAAATGTGGGCAATCTTAGAGTGATAACTCAGCGTTAATTGAATTCTAGTACAACTTGCACAAACCTTCCGTTAATCAATTGGCTTGAATCTTTCATAAGCCTTGATCTTGAGTGTCTACGATTACCTTACTAAAGAGTAGCTTGAAGGTAATTCAACCGCAGCAAAGCAAGGTTTCCAATAGCCATCATCAAGTGCTGAAACCAAAAAACCGACTCTTTAAGCCGAGCGGTCACTCTGAGGCGATACCAGTACACCTTTGTAAGCAAGTTTCGATTTACCCCGTCTCAGTGGTCGCTGATTCCTTATTGTAGGCTTGAGGTGTAAAACCTCTAAAATTTGCGTCTGTTTTTTAAGTCAAATCGTCATGTCAAATCAAGACAACACAGTATTCTCGGAAGCAATCGTCGATGAAAAATCCTGTATGGTCTCTAACAACTTGGCTTCATTGGGACTCTTTTAAGCACTCAAAAGGTGTTACATAGGGTAATCTTCCGGTAAAAAACAATGATCGATGTGTGAAGTCAAGGAGTTGATCTTTTGGTTTTTGTTTTTCACTACATGGTGAAATTTAGGTTAGATTGTTTAATAGTGAGGTGGAGAAGTACCTGTCATCACCTGTTCGCATCAATTATCCTTCCATCGGGTGATATTTCAATTGAAAACAAGACACTTATGCATCATTTGTTTAACAAGAGAGATATATGCCTCGGGGTTTCTGAGAGATGCAATCAAAAAGCACGAACGGGCCCACTTCGCGATCTCGTGGTGAACACTTTACAATTTTTTTGCTACAAAGTAAATTCAATCGTAGCAAAACTGTTGGGAAAGAAGGAAGGGTAAACTTACTCTGAACTAGCGTCTAAACGGCATTGCGTTGGAAAAAAAATGTTTCCAAACATATTTTATCCAGTAACTATTTATTTGTATTTTTCTGGTGGAAACATGGATGGACAAATCGCGGCCGCGCCCACTGACTTTAAAACCTCTATATATTTGGCAGCAAAAATTAGTCATAAAAGCAAACGACATTCCGAACGTTCAAAGATTATTTTTTCGGTCTGAGAAAAATAAAAATGGGTCTATTTTCGAATTTTCAGTATGGTTGATCAGGTGATTACACCCTCGCACTTATTGGTCGAGAATTACGTCATACCCGCAATACATCCTACTCGTAATCACTCCGCCCTGAGGAACCATATACTTAGGCACTTACTTTGGAGATGGGCAGCGTGCAAATTGTTTTTGTTTCCGAAAAAGGAAATATGAGATGATTTTTCGTTCTAATCAGCATCTGAATAATCATACTGTGACGATGTTTAGTTAACAATTATGTAACTCGAGATAGCTGTAATCCAACCCGCTTTAAGGGTGTGCTCACTTTTTGACCTCAGTAGAGTTGGGTCAACACACATTCCGCTTGGTGTTCATTATTGCTACCTTATTCTATATGTCCTTCTTAAGACTAAGCCCTGAAGAACGTTACATATACCACAACCCATTATTCTTCCCATGCCCAGCAAATATTGTCAAATAATTATTAAAAAATGTAAATTGTAATTTCAAAAGCGCTTAAGGTTAAAGGATGGAGTATTTTTTTTACTTTTCTTGTATTTCCTGTTTATATTCTATCATAAACAATCTTATAGTTTTATGTTCTTTTCTTTCTAAACTGTAACTTTTATCGCTCATAATTCATGTCATTTTGTCTTCTCTCTTTTTCTCTTTCTTTTCTTTTTTTTCTTCTTTAAAGATCCTTGATTTTTTTTTTATTTTCTTCTGTTTCCAATGTCGTACCTGACGAAATGGCAGAAAATTCAATCTTTACATAAAACTGTAAGCTCAGAAAACTATTGTTGAAATATCATATATTTGCTAATTAAATTATTTACTAGTATTCGGTATATTTGTGGGACATTTTTCCTTTGACCGTTTGGTCCTTAAAGCTGCCCAAGATTTTTTGGCGAGGTAATTACATTTATTTCAATCATAACTTACAGTGTGGTATTTCTTGATCGAACCAAAAACAAACATAAACAGTTTGAATTTTGTACCTTACAAAGTAATTTAGTTACTGTTTGACGCTTACATTCCAAAAGGATCTGGGGTAGAACGAGTTTCTGCCAGGCGTTTCTTGTATCAGACGCTCTTCCATCCGGGATAGAGTCATTTTAAATATTTTAAGCGATCTGATTGGCTTAGAATAAACGATCGGGAAATTTAACAAAATGTTAGCGTTCTTTTGCTTTCCATGCGTGAACTACACATGATTGTGTTTTGAGTTTTTACCAAAGATTTACAAGGCTTTGTCGTTTTCTGGCTTTGAAAGAGATCATGTAAATTTTGGAAGGCCATGCCGACGGCTGGTGAAGCGAGACTGAAATCGCAATCATCAAAAAAGACAGCGAAAGATGCGTAAGTACAGTGCGAAAGTAAATTAAACGTTGGCAGGTTTTGATCTCAGGAAATCTTATGTGCTGGTCGTTGTTCTCAGAGCCCAATGAAACTACTTTTATGGGAACCACTCTTAGCCTGGCTCTATTCATGAATGGTAAAGGCAATTTTTTGGGAGAAACAAGTCAAAGGTTGCCGACGATCGACATCTTTCACGCTCACTTGTTTCATGTTTTGTTTATTTATTGAGCGAGGATAATTTCAAATGTCTGTGAAATCCATTATATGAAGATCATATATGAACAGCGGTTAAAGACGTAAATATGAAAGCGATCTTCGCAGTAATGAACACTTCTAAGTACAGGCTTGAATTTTTTTCAGGCCTTATTATCACCACTGCTCAAGTAATGTTCATTACTGCGACGATCGCTTTCATATACAGGATAATTTCAGTTGAACAGATTTCGATCAACATAAAGGCCTAGACTAGATTACATGTGTCTCATCAGTCTAATCAGTTTGTTAAATGCAACACTTCGATGTCGAAAACACGAAACAAACAGCTGTTTAACAACATGCGTAGTGAAATCACCGACTGAAAACATCTGATAAAATATGAGGTCATATGCTTTGATTGTTCAGCCATGTAAATTATCGTATTTAATGTTACCATGTTTTCATCTATCAGAGCTTCCCATAAAGGAAATACCAAGGTAGTCAAGCCCAGATCTGCCAATACTGCGGAAGGTTTGTGTTTTCAAAATTTTTCGTGATCGTACATGACTTCTAAAAAAAAAAACAAACAACAACAACTGTCGCAGCAACATTCACGACGAAAGTTTTTAGGGGGGTAAACATTATGGTAATCAGTTGCTAAAATTGAATTACAATCAATTTTTCTCTTAGCATTAAAGAGCAAGAAGACCACATCAAAACCAACTTCAGGGAAAAGGTAAATAACATTTACATCATATCTCAAGTGAAAGATTATTTGGGATTGTCCAGTCATTTACTGTATGGAAAGTCAGACTGAATAAAAGGGAGAAAGTAAAAATATATTTAAAGCTTTACTATGTACAAATGAAAGTCATCATAGTGGAAACGTTTCATGTGTAGTATTGCTTTTTTAGCTCAATTCCAGTCCCTGTGAAGAGAGGAGTGAAAGGAAAAGAAAATGCAGATCCAGTAAGATAATCATGTACCATTTAACAATTATATAATAAGCTCAGTTATGCACACATTCTGATTGGTTCTTACTTATGATCTATTGGAGGACAGACGTATAGATGATGTCATCATTAAAACTTTTTTTAATTCTTTATTATATAAAACAAATAGATTCCAAGTTGCCGTGTGTCTGTTCAGTAATAGATCACAGAGGACATCAAAATGTGGTAAGAACATCAGTGACACACTCGACTGCACCTTGTGTGCCACTTTTTTGTTCTTACCACATTTTGATGTCATCTGTTATCTATTACTGAACAGACACACAGCAATTTGGAATCTATTTGTTAAATAGATTCCACATAACCATGTGACTGCTCAGTAATCAATCACAGATGATGTCAGAATTGTGGTGAGAATGGAAAAAAGCACACAAGATGCAGCCAAGTGTGACACTGATGTTCATACAGCATTTTGACATCATCTGTGATGTGATCTTGTACAGACCCATGGCAACATGTAATCTATTTGTTTTATATGATTAATTAAAAAGCAAACTGTTGTCAATGATGGTGTTATCTATGCATCTGTCCTTCAATAGATCATAAGTAAGAACCAGAACCTTTATCAAGGTTTGTGCAAATCATGGAGAACATGGAAATTTTCTTGGAAGGAAATTCATTGTTGATTATGAAATTTTAAAGTCACTGTGTTTTTATTGTTATTATTATCATATTATTATTATAATTATTATCATTATTATCATTAGTAGTAGTAACACAGTGAGTAAAAAATCACAATTAGGCTCAAAACTTAATTCTGATTGATTGATTGATTGATTCTGTAAAGGCCATCAAGAAATCCACAAAAGTTAAAAAAGCTCCAGACTTCAGTAAACTTCATCAAAAATGGGAAAACCAGTTTTCCAAGGTAAGCTGTGATATTTAATTTTTTTTTTTTGCAATACTGCTACATAAACATGTCCAAACACAGGAGCCAAGACCTATTGTGCATCAGATATATTGTTTGTTTGGTTGACTTTGTAAGTTGGTCAAGACACACATCTGTGCTAAATCAATTTTATTGGTTAGCAAGCACCAAGGCATAAGGAATAGTGAGATGACTGCATGACTTGCTTCTCTTCATGTCTTTTGCCCTCGGGTTTATGAGAGTCTGCTGACAGCTTAGTGCTTGAGTACCACGCGTCACCATTAGCAATTATTCCACCTGTATAATCCACCAGAGTTCTCTAGTCCAATTTCCTAAACCTATTGACACTGTTTATACAACTATGAACTTGCTTAAGTTTATACATCTTTGCTACAAGCAGCAGTCAAGCCAAATAATCTCACTTTTTGGCAATCAGTAACACTGAGTAACAAACACTACTTGTCATCTGCCTTCACTGTATTCTCCCCTCCCTGAAATTATATTATCCTTGGTTTGTCATCTCCTGACATTAATGTGTATCAAATACATGCTTCTGTTGAATATAGTAGTTTCTTCCACTACATACTAGAATTACTTCACATTCTTACTACTTTAACTAGCCTATAGTATTTGTCATAGTGCTACTTTACTTTCCCAGGGGTTTCGATAGCACCTAGGTAGCAGGTAGATCTACCCTTATCCCCCCTCCCCTCCCCCTCCAACTTCTCTGATCATGTGGGACTCCTTGTTACATTTGAATATGAATGTCTTCCTCCCTCTTGAGAGTGTTATTTCTCAAGGGAAGAAGAGAGAGGATGCTGAGAACAAGGTTGTCTGAATTTTCAAAGTGCTTGATCTGTTTTGGTGTTGTCCATATTTTTGAGTTTTCCTGTCTTGGAGTACAGATGATTAAACACCTCTGGCCACCGGTTATTTCAGTAATGTGTACACATACTTTGCTTCAATATCTTTTCTTTATTTTAATTTTTCAGGGCAAGGCAGTTGCAAAGAGGAAAAACACAAGAGTAAGTACACTGATTGACTAGTTGTATATTGAATAGTGTTTAGACAGAAGTGA